TATTTGCTTTTTTATTTTTTATTTTTTTTTAAACCATGTTGAAAATCTTTTTCCATTTAGATCAATTCCAGAATTAAGGAACTTGACCTGAGCCATAATGAATTTTGTGGAAAAGGAGGTGAACATTTGGGTCAGATGTTAGGTACAGAAAAAATTCACCAATCTTAACGTCTTTATAAATGTGATCCATTGCATTGCATTACTTTCACAGTGAATATGTATGTATATATAAGTTTGTCTTAATGTCCATTTCTACAGCAAACAATGAAGGTCTGGAGGTGCTGGACCTCAGCTGGAATCATCTGAGAATGAAAGGGGCTGTAGCTTTATCTGCAGGACTCAAAGTACGGCTCTATAAGAAATGAATGTCATCACTGACTTCATATGTAACATTTGATCACATGTACTGTACATGATCCATATGTAGGTGAATATGATGTTAAAACACCTTGACTTATCATGGAATGGTTTTGGAAATGAAGGCGCCCTGGCCATGGGAGAGGCCCTAAAATTCAACAGCACCCTGGTTCACCTCAACCTCAGCAACAACCGGCTCACCAACGAGAGCGTCGGCATGCTGTGCAGAGGCCTGGAGTACAATGACACACTCCGAGTCCTGCTGGTGGGTGGACAAAGTCGTATTAAGCCAACACACATGATCAGTATGGCTGCAGATGCATTGTAATATGATGCTTTAATCCTTAAACTCCTGCAGCTGGCGTACAACTCTATAACAGTAGAGGGAGCACTGGCCTTGGTTACTGTGGTGAAGAACACACCTAGAACTGCCCTGGAGGAGATAAACATGAGTGTGAGAGACTGATTTTAGTTTGATCACAAACAAGTCAAATTAGCTGTGAACACAGCTGAGTTTTTATCAATATTAATCAAATATTGCACTATTTCCCCTTTTTCTCTTTTTACCGAGCAGAACGTGCTCGTAAATGAAAACTTTGTGCATCTGTTGGAGGTGACGTGTCAGGAGCATCCTGGTCTGGATGTACAGTATGGAGGGGTGGGGGGCTTCATAGCTAAGAAACCGCCGAAACGTGTCGATCCAATGAAGATCATCCAGGTCTGTGTAGTCATATAATGAAAATGAGTGGACCTTAAAATCTGAAATGGTTATGTTCTATTGTTTTAAATTGTAATCTCACATTTCTCACGTCTAACAAATGTTTTACTCACACAATAATTCAGATGAACTGTCAAATAGCCGCATCTTCATCTCTAATTTGTCTCTATGTGTTTAATAATAATTGTCTGTTTTTCAAAAGGATTATCTGGACCAACGTAAACTGCGTCTGTGGGATTTCTTCAGGAACATAGACAAAGACGGCACCATGCGAGTCCCTGTCACCGACTTCAGGAAGGCCGTGCAGGTTTTCCCCAATAATTGTTGATTTACTGAGCAGTGATATGAGTCAGTGACATTTACATTAAGAGGTGCACCGGTGGATTTCAGTGACAGAATACTATGAGAGTGTCCTCTGAAATCATCCATGATGAGGTCTCATTCAATCCTGTTCACATCTGTGTCCTGATGCTGATCATGGCTGGCATAAAGCACAGAACAAATCATTACAATCCTGTAGTAAGTTCAAGTAATTCACTGATGCACTGCATGAAAAAGTAGAAACTCCTTCACTTTTTTGTTGTGACAGCAATCAAGCATTCCTTTGGATCGATACCAGATTGAGGAGCTGATTCAGAGACTTGATCGTGACAGGACAGGGATGGTGGACTACAGGTGAGCACATACAGTGTGCTGCTGTTTCATTTTACCATCAGATGGTGCCTTTAAATTCCAGCACACAGAAAAAAGTGTGTCTTACTTATGAGCTGCAAAATCGTCCTGATCAAAAACATGGTGTATACGGCACAGAGGAGCTGTAGTAAATTGGTTGCAGTGCTGTAAAACGTATCTGATGTTTCTGTGCAGGGGATTGGCAGATACCAGGAAACAGATGATGAGGGATCACCGCCGCCAGCTGAGGAAGGTTGAGTCCCGTCAGAAGAAAGAAAAGCAAAAAAGCGACCGCATCCTCAAGACGTTCCAGAAGGCCGTGGAGGCGGTGACACCCCACGGCTCCATAGTCATATCTCCAGGTGCTGCCAAGGAGGACTCAAGTGGCCCACAGCAGTTCTCTGCCACCCCCCTCAGCTCCTGGCACCACATTGTCATGTCCAACAGCAGTCGTTACTCTGTCACCAACCTGAGCAACGAGCATGTCCACCTGCCAATGTTAGGAGGCAGTGCGTCTTACCGTCCAACCACTTCTCTGGCGATGCGCTCCTACTCCCAGCCCAACCTGCTGGATGACTCCCCGTGCTCTTCCCCAGGCAAGTCTATCTCCGCTCAGGGGATACGCTCTGATCCAGAAATGAGCCACAGCAAACTGAGCCCCACCGCTAACCCCCTGACCAGATCCCGGCCGGCTCTCAACGCCAAGAAGACAGAGGGTAAAGCTAAAACCAAGAAAGTGAAAAAGAAGAAAACAAAGAAGCAGGAGGAGAAGGGCTCAAAGAATCCTAATCAAACTGTCAAGTGACTGTCAATGAAATGTTCTGATTGTTTCTATTTGTCACCACTGGCTTGTGATCGTCACAGTTATTAAATAAAGACAGATTTTCATTATTTATCTTGTCTATAATGGGATAGTTAAAAAATGAAAATTCACTGAATTTTTCTTTTGGGGTGAACTATCCATTTAATTGCAATGGCACTCAGTAGAGCACATAGCAAGGCCCAACAGTCCCCTCAAGAAACCACATTTAAATTCATTACAACTGGATTTTTATTTAGGAGCTGCACCAAATTACACACAATCACAAATATCAGTCTCCTGATGATTTCATCAAGCTCCCTGGAGTTTTTTCTTTCTGTCCAGGTCTGTGTCAAAGGTCGTGTCCCACATCCCATCCTTCTACCATATTTCAATAAAATCGGTAACTTCCTTGGCAGAGGTAGAAATATGAAGATGTAATAATTATGAAGATAACTTTAAATTTGATATATTTGTTTCCTGCTGAATAAGTTGGGCCATCTGAGGACACATCACATTTTATAACACTTGGGAACTCCGTCAGATGGTAGACGCACCCATTGGTGGTTCTTGGGATTGTGATGCACGCCCAAACTTTAGTAGACCATTTCAAACAAAAACCTGAGTATTTCATTTCTGTTTGCTGAAGATAAACTCAAGTGTCACAAATCTCAACTGTGTCTTATGGCTAATGATGCTGTGAACGAGACAGCTGCTGCGTCCTGCCAGATGTTGACACTGTCTATATTAACCCCGGACATTTAGCTGTCTCCATCATAAGCCCTGCACCAGAATGATCGGCACTCTGTGTATCTTTATGCTGCTGAGCTCCACGGCAGCCTGGGGGGTATGTATGGCACGACTTGGATTGACTGATGCATCTTTATTCTTTATATATATCTATATCTATATTCTTTATAGACTTAAGCTGATTTAATGTTCATGGGACCTATCTTTTCAGTCTGTGGGCCTGTGGAGTCAACGGGGAGTGAGGAATGGAACAGGAGGAGGAAGCAGGGACAGATGTACCTGTGATGCCTTCCTGCCCAGTTCAACCTTCCCCAACAGAGACCTGGTGGTGGTAGAGGAGACAGCTGTGGAGATCTCCCACCAACTGGAACACGAGATGGGCAAGGTATTCTCATACATACTGGAAGCATGTGCAGTAAAACGATGATGCATTAGTGACAGACACAAAAAGTTTCTAAAGTTTTTCTGATTTCAGCTGGAAGACTATGAGACCAAGCTGACTGCATATGCAGAAAGAATAATCCAGCTGACAGTGGAGATTGAGAAGATCGAGAAGAACCCTCATGACTACAATGACGCAGACATGGACGAGGTGAAGGTGGAGATCAAACAAGTTGAAGCTTTGGTTAAAGAGCTGCAGCTTTCCATCGCGAGCTCCACCACTGTCTTTGAGTCTCTGCACAAACAGGTAAGTACGGCGGATGGTGCTGTTGCAACTGCTGTCAACATTGGTGCTGACAAACTGTTGTCATGTTATGTTTCAGATCACAGCCATGGTAGAGACCCTGGACAGGATGGAGAAGACCTATGACAAGAACATGGTTCTGGTGACCCGCCGGGAATACATTAAGGTGCAAATGGAACTGGAGGAGTGCGAGAGACGCCACCAGGAGCTCTTCAACCCCAACATTGGTGAGTTCATTCACACTAACAGAAATGTCTGAATCAAGCCCTCTGAAGACTCATTTGATTCATTTCCGGTTCACTTTGTAGGTTCCTGTGCCCACAGCGGCATCATCAGGGTCAGCAAGCCCATTGTGAGCCAGTTGAACGGCCATCTAAACTCTGGCTACAAATTTGGAGGCTGGGGGAAAGATTCCAAGCCTGTTCCCGACAGAGAGTCTATGTACTGGTACTCTGGCTCCACTAGTAGCTCCATTTTTGAAATCAAGTTTTACACCAGCTATAAGAATCTAATTTTAAGAAACCAGTTCCAGCATCACAACTTACAGAGTGGCTGGAGGGGCACAGCGAACAATTTCATCGTCCGTGATAACACCTTGTATTATCAGATCAACAGTCCATTCGGTCTGGCCAAACTGAATTTCACCACCTTGGAATATGAGTCCAGGGTGATTGCTAAAGCCAGCAACAGATTCTCCTACACCAACACCCCCGATCAAAACTTTGACTTTGCAGCAGATGAGACTGGCCTGTGGGTGACCTACGCAACGGAGGAGTCCAGCGGACTCATGGTCATCGCTAAAATAAACGAGACCTCTTTTGGGGTTGAGGAGGAATGGCAGACCAGCGTCTACAAACCAGGGGTGAGCAACGCCTTTATGGTGTGTGGCGTTCTGTATGCGGCCAGGAGGGTAGATTTCGAGACTGAAGAAATCTTTTATAAGTACGACACCCGCACCAAACAGGAGAGCCACATTAGCGTCCTGTTTAAGAAGTTCCAGGATAATTTCTCTAACCTGGACTTCAACCCCACCGACCAGAGGCTCTACATGTACAACGACGGCTACTATGTCAGCTATCATCTGTGGTTTAACCACACCACTAAAGCCACTGTTGCGCCTCCATTCCTCCTGACCTCCTGAACATTATCAGTGATTTACTGAAGTACACCAACTAATGAATGAAACAATGATTCTATCTCTCTGTTTCTATTTCTCTTGTTTTTTCATTTAACCCTTCTTCTTAAAATCGAATATGTGAATAAATACCTGAAGCATCATGAAATTGTCCGGTGTGTTTGTGTTAATGCTCATGAATAGAATGTATTACTTGATAATGACTGAAAACGAGAGTATCACTTCTACTATCAAGAAAATAAGATATGATAAGATAAAATTTAATTGATCCCACAGCAGGGAAATTCACTAGTTACAGCAGCAGTAAAATCAGAATGAGGTAGACAAGAGAAAAAATATTAAAAGGAATAAAAAATACAGAACATGTTCATAATATACACTTTTCACCACAGAAAGATGTTTGTGTATAGAAAATATAGAAAAATATTAGGATGTAGAAAATATTAAATTTGTTAAAAGACAGTAGACACCTGGAGTTCAACTGATATTAGTTGACTGATGAACTTTTCTCTTCACTTGACCCATACATACATTCAACAATGAAGGATTTATTTTAATTAGGTGAACATTTTTAGGCAACTCTGTTCTGCTGCAATAAACATTTAAAAAGTGAGTTGTCTGCATGTCAGGGCTTTTTTTAATTTTATTTGATCAGCTTAGTGTTAATACACAGGATAATAAATATTGATTGTCATTGTTATGCAGATGATACACAGTTGTATTTCCCCCCTGAAGCCTTGTTCCACCAATATTTCACACATCCTGCCAAGATGAAATGAAAAGGCAGATGACTCAAAATCAGAGGTGGTTATTATTACACACACTACTGGTCCCAGTACCAGTCGTATTAACAATCTCGACCTAAGAGATATTTTTGATTCTGAGATGCCTTTCAATGCTCAAGTGACCAAACTGGTGCAATCCTGTGCAAACATACAGACGTGCAACTTTTCACAGATGTTTCTTTTAGTACAGATTTGGCTTTTACATTGATTAAATGCATAATGTTCGCATTACAAGTTTATGATTAAAGTGTTAATAACTGTCACATCTGCAAACTTTACTCTTCAAAGTTGTGTCTTTGGCTTCATCAATGTGCTTAGGGGTGTGCATGGTGGTTTCATGGAGTTTGTGTCAACATTTAATTCAAATGTTGTTGGTGCACAACATTTGCTCCTTGTGAACCACACTGTTTAAAGACACCACCCAAGTCACATGCTTAAGATTACACAATTGACCATATGGATGAGGAAGCAATACAACAAAAGCAATTTGATTCCTATATTCAAAACAACAGTTAGAAGTGACTCCTGAGTCAATGTCTATACAGTTAGTAAGATCAAATGTCAATAAACTGCTTTTTTAAAAGAGATTCAATTACACTATACTAGAATGGCTCTTAGTAGAATTTATGCCTCAGTCAAAAGCCAACAGTCCTCTTAAATGTAATCAAATTGAATAAAGCTATGTTCACACACTCATAGATCAAAGTCCCCGAACAGTGCCTGGATTTTTTCATCAAGATCCATGAATTATTCCTGGAGAAAATAGTGAAAATGTTAAGTTAAAGAAAGAGATGAAATATTCCTGGAATTGCCCCTGATCTGGATCCGCACCAAAGTTTAATGGGTTCTTTTGTGACCCATGCTACATCCTTTTAGCAAGATTCATGGTAATCTGTCCAGCAATTTCTTTGTAATCCTCCTTACAATCTACAAACAAACCAACCAACAACCAACGGACAGGTGTGAAAACATCCTTGCAGTAGGTCATTACAGTCGGCTAACAGGTCATAAACTTAACAAGGTGTTGCCAGAGTTAACTACACATGACATTTTTCTCATCCACACCCTGTGTCCTGATCAAATCTTAGACGTGGGCGAATCTTAGACATTGTGAATGTGTGATCGTGTGTGTGTGTTGAGCTCAGACAATAACTATGGGAAGAGAGAAGGTGTCTGTGATGTTCTGATAAGAGCTGTCTTTAAAAACCCTCCGATCAAGTGTTTGAGGAGACATTTGAGATAAACAGAGACACGATGCTGCCAATTCTGCTGCTGCTGATTCCAGTCCTCAGTCCTGCTTTGGCCTGGATTGTAAGTGATCAACTTTTCTTTGATCCAATCGTGCAAATTACATAAAATCTAATTTTAAATAACATTTTCCTTCTTGATAATTTCACAGCCAGTGGAGGATTGGGAGTCTGGCAATGTGACTGCATCTGTGGGTGACTCGGGTCAGTGCGTTTGTCACGTGTATGTGCCAGACACCACCTTCCCCGCCGACCGGGTGCAGCACATGCAACAAGTCAGCAAAGATCTGATCCTAGAAGTGGAAATCCAAATGGACAAGGTGCTCGGGGTCTGACTGATGGCATGATGGTATATATGAAAACATGTGCTGTGGTATAAACATCATCATGTTGACTTATGTTTTTACTCAGATGGTGAGCTATGAAGGAAAACTGGAGATCTATCTGGAAGAACTGATGGGTCTGACAGATAGAGTGGCCATGTTGCAGAGCAGCAGCAACAAGTACATCAAACTGGACTTTGAGTTGCTCAGGAACGAGCTCCGAGAGTTTGACACTCTGGTGTCGCAGCTCAGAGACTCCGTCAACTCCTCCTCACCCCTGTTCGACAGCCTGTACACTGAGGTGAGAAAGTCACATCTGAATCTGTGGCAAGAATCTAATGTTGGCACTGGGAATCATCTTGAACTTTTCAAGGTGTTGGATTTCAGTTTAGCCCAATTTTCATAAATTCTATTGATGCATTTCTTTATAGATTCATAACATGACGCTCATTGTAAATCAACTGGAGACCTACGACAAGAGCAACCTGGACATGATCCGTATTGAGTTTGCCAAGCTACAGAAGAAGTTGGAGGAGTGCCAGAAGGACCAGGAGTTCTTCAAGCCAGATATTGGTGAGGAAGCTCATCAGAAGATAATCAACAAGATCACTTAGATCACCAGTTGTTCTTAACCTTTTCCTCTTTTTCTCAGGCAACTGCAACCACACAGGAATCATGAACATCAGCAAACCCATGGTGGTGCAAATTAACGCTCATTTGAGTGCAGATTACCAATATGGAGGCTGGGGGAAAGACTCCAAACCTGTCCAAGGCTATGAGTCCATGTTCTTCTATGGTGCATACAGCACTTCCCATGTGTATGACTTCTATTTTTACTCCGACTACAAGAAGCTGATTCTGAGGTCTGCATTCAAACACCATAGCCTATCATACGGGTGGCGAGGTACTGGTAACAATTACATTGTTCACAGGAACACTGTATACTACCAGAACAACTCGCCTTTCAGTATGACCAAGCTGAATCTGACAAGTTCCGAATACGACCACAAACTTATTCCAGCTGCCAGTAAGAAGTACTCATACAGATACGCAGATAACCAGAACCTGGACTTTGCAGCAGATGAAAATGGCTTGTGGGTAATGTATGCCTCAGAGGAGAGCATGGGTAACATCGTCCTCGCCAAGCTAGATGAGGAATCATTCAGCATCGCGGGTGTGTGGAACACTAGTGCGTTCAAGCAGCTGGCTGGCAACGCTTTTATGGCGTGTGGAGTCATGTATGCCACCAGGCCGGTGGATCTGAACACAGAGGAGATCTTCTATTCGTTAGACACAAAGACCAGGGAGGAGAAGCAGCTCAACATTCGCTTCCAGAAGTTTCAGGAGAAATACACCAACCTGGACTACAACCCCACTGAGCAGAAGCTCTACATGTACAACAATGGCTACTATGTGTCCTACAATGTGAGGTTTAACAGTGAATGATTCTTAAGCTTTGTGATCTAACGTATTGTGATTGGTGCGACTGATCTGTGTTCGCTCTCTTTGTCCCTGATGCTCTGTGACACTCTTTTCTTCTGAATAAAATCAAGCTGAAGCATTCAAATGATCTTATGGGTTGTTGTTTTTATATATAGAAATAGTGCCTACAACCTGTTATTACAGCGCAGGTTCCAGTTACTATCACCTTACATTTCCACTACAATCGCATACATTTTGGCAGAACAGGGCTCGGACGTTATGCATCTTTTAAAGCTAGGGTTGAAAATCTCAATGAGACTGCCTGACTGAAAAAAAAAGTAATGATAACAAATTACAACAGATCTAAAAGACCACACATCATGCCAATTATATAACATAGAGTACAAAAGGTGCAAGTACTTTAGCAAACGGCAATAATCATATTCTCTTTATCTTTCAGTGTCAAGGTCAAGATAAATTAAATTCTCTGCTCTGCAGCTTGTGAGTGAGCTCACAGAAAATGTGTCAAACTAAAAAAAACTGTCTTGGTCAACTGTAATGTCTCCAGACTATAATGGGTGGTGACCCAAAAGACACACAAACAGCAAAATAAAAAAAGGTTGTCAGCACTCTGTGATTAACTTATATACTTTTAAAAGGTTAATGCACAGGAGCAGAAATAAAATTGTGTTTCAGCCGCAGGCCTCCTTCAGCCCTTCAAAGACAAAGATGTTCCTGCTTTTTCAATACATCAACATTAGCAGTATGATTCAAGAAGAGGCTGCTTTGTTACGTTCATATTCAATTTCCATTTTTTCAATTAACCTACAGTCCCAGCTAATCAAAATATAAACTGGAGAGAGAAATGAAATATTACTAGTTTGGTCAACACAGCTTAGTATTCTTCTTTCGTGTTTCTGAGTTGAATTAAGAGACACACTCAATGTCTTATGTCCAAACTGCTCTGTTGTATTGTGCACAAAGTAACTGTCAGGAGTTTGCCGTCTTTGTGTCATTTCAGACACATTATGCCTCTGAGCTTCATAAAAGTAGACGAGACCTTACTACTGTGGTTGTGTCACATGGGATATAAACTGTATGTTGTAGCTCAAGATAAGGTCAAGCATACAGTCTGAATAACCTTCAGGAAGAAAGTTATCCCTATATATATTTCATTTAAAAATACATTATTGTCTATGCTAAAGTGGTCCTCTTGTCATAGTCACTGACTCTGAAGCACTACATTTTTAATTTTAGAATCACAATATTCCCACAAAGTAAATAGATTTTTAAAATATATCCATTGGGCATTTTATATCTTTATTGACACGACAGTTCAAGCATGAATGAAGAGAGAGAGAGAGAGAGAGAGAGAGAGAGAGGAAGATACACAGCAAAGTGTTGCAAGTCAGACGCAAATCTGCTGCCATCACAGATAAGCCCTGCCTCAGTATGAGACACCACATCAACCAGATGAGCTACATCCCGAACAGTTCTAATTCTCATGCTGTCATTTTGCCAGTGTCTAAATCACCTTGAGTGTGTATAAGGAAATAACCCAATCTGAACCCATAAAACTGCTAATAAAACTGTTATGACGGTGGAATCAAGGCACATGTTTCAGCCAGGCTGATAAGAAGCGTAAAACCCTCAGCACTGGGTTGGCTCCTAAGTTCCACTCATAATCATTTACCTTCAATTATATTCAGGTATATGATATATTTCAGAAAAACAAATCTATCTCCTTGTAGCCGGTGGAGGACTGGGAGTCAGGGAATGTAACCACATCTGGTGGAGCTCTGGAGTGTGTTCCTGCCCGACAGCTCCTTCCCTGTCGACCGAGTGCAACACATGCGGCAACTGACCACAGATCTGAGGTTGGAGGTGGAAAACCAGATGAATAAGGCCAGTACAAGCATCCTCTATGTTTTTATTTTTCCTTGTTTCCTACATTTGGAATAAGTTGTGTGAAACATGCTTACAGTATAGTACAGTCAGGTTAACTCAAAGGGAAAACCCAGTGACCAGATGCATTAGGGATTAGAAACTGATAATGACCTTAATGAAATTAAGGTGATTAATGATGCACTAATATGCACACTTTCATTAATAATGTCTTATGAGAGAAATAGGTAGTTACAGCATTAATAATTCTGCTAATTATTTTCCTTAAAAATGAAGGCATTTATCATTCAGTTTTATTCTACACACTGTACAATGCAACATTACAATCCAGGGTTTTTAAGGACTATTTGCAGGGGGAAATTTAATACAGAATATAATCTGTCTGTGTTGTGGTTGTGTTGCAATAGGAGAATTTATTAAAATGTGGTTTACAAACTGTGTGTGTTTCAGCTTGTCCACTGTGGAGGCAAACTGGGTATGTTCCTGGCAGAACTGACAGAGCTGACAGTCAGAGTGGCCATGTTGGAGAGCAGTCCAGACAATTACATCAAACTGGACTTTGAGCTGCTCAGGATCGAGATTCGAGAGTTTGAGGCTCTGGTGTCGCAGCTCAGAGACTCCCTCAACTCCTCCTCTCCCCTGTTCAACAGCCTGTACACTGAGGTGAAAAGACAGATAGACTGAACTCACTACTTCTGGGATTTAATCGGTTATGTGGTATCTGTTGGATTGCTCCTCCTCTTAAAAGTGAGCATTCAAACTAGTGTCCAGCTTTTTATTTTTATTTCCAACATTTGAGAATGGACCATACTCACACGGTGGATCTAGTGGTGAAGTTGCATGTTGTAGCTGAACACCCCCTCACCTCACCCTCCCCTTCCAAACATGAAAGAGAACCTGTGGTGAACTTCAGTTGCCATAAAAACTCAAAAGGAGTTTAGTTTGTCCAGTTTGGACTACTGTAAAAGACACGGCGGCCTCCATAGAGAGGACCCGCTCCTGATGTAAATATTAAGTATTTAAATATATTCAATTTCTGCCAAAAGATCCCTTTCACCTAAATATTACACACTGAACCTTTAAGTAAGCATTAGCCCTGAAGTTTCCAAAAAGATTGGAATTATAATCCATGTTCAACTCATAATTGTGGATTATTTTAAAACACATTTGGTAATAAATGTGATATTAAAACCAGCATTAATGTATTTGATTTTAAGAATAGTCGTAAGATGTTTTTACTGATCCTTTTAACCAGAATATTTCTGAGATCATGCAGAAAACAGTTAACATCACATTGCTTGCTTGATTACATCCAGTACATTTTACTCACAGTCTTAAATTAATGTGTCTAAGATGAGCATTGTTATTACGTGGCTAGGAAATGTTGAATGCAAATGTTAGTGTTGAGTATATATAATATATACAGTGAAATATGCTGTGTAACCTTGAAACCTGGTCCCATGTTCCTGCAGATTATAAATTTCCATTGTCTCTCAGTTGCTGATCAGTGAGGGGGCAGTAAAATTAACAGTTAAACCTGGATCATAGCAGTGCAACATTAATGTTTATATCAGCATCTGAGTGTAATGTCAGAAATGAATGGCCGCTGTGTGAATATGGTCAATGTGAGTTGAGTCAAACTGTGAGAAATCAGACACCTCCCTTTTTGGGAGGGTTTCGGGTGATGTTGCAACATCTGATGAACATCCTCCCCTCCTTCTTCGTGCTGGAGCTCCCTCCCCCCTCTGGTCCTCCCACGGGGAGGGGATGACTCTCCTTTGTGCTGTGGTTAGAGCCTCGCTCCATCTGGTACTGAGCACCAAGACCCAGCAGATTATAGATTCACGGGCAGGGTGATCCCTCCAGTTACAGTTGACGGCTGGCGACAAAGCAAAAAGCAGTGATGCGTGATTCAGATCTGCCACCAGTCAACACCGCAGGCCGAACACAGTCCAATTTTAGAAGTAAAAGCCAGGGATGAAAATGGCCTTCATTCAAAAATAGCACTGTCTCTTTAAATCAGGCAGCATCTCTCAGGGTAAGAGGAGGGGTCGTGAGCGCCTTGTGCGAAATGGTACCCTGAAGTGACATCATGCTCAGCCAATCGGCGGCCTCGCCTGGTTCTCTCTCCTCCTCTCCTGTTCCTGGGATGAGTGTGTTGATGCTGATGGAGACATGGGCTTCGGCTGCTGCTACTGATGCTGCTGATGCTGCTGCTGCTGCCGGGGTGGAGGATCCAGGGCATGCTCGCCTCACATCAGGTACAGTGTGTGTGTGTGTGTGTGTTTGTTTGTGCGTACGCCTGTTCTTTTGTGCTATTTGCTATTTGTGCATTTATTCAACATGGGGGGGTTGCTCATTTAGTGGTTAGTGAGATGCATGTTCAGAAGATGATAGAGGAGGCTGAAGATGGCTTTTTGTATTTCATAATACTCCTTTGAGGATGTTGCCTCCATGCCTGTGACCAGAATTGGGTGTGTGTGTGTTTTTGTGTGATGTTTGGGGAAAGGCACATTGTATTTTACATCCACTGTCTGACCTGTATTATATTTGTTTTATGTGACAAAGAATTATTGCATGATATTAATGATTCTAAACATGTTTGTCAGCAAAGAATGTATGTGCCTTTTGGAAATAATCCATTTCATGTGATTTGTCCAAGTGTGTGGGAGTATGACCACATGTGGGTATCTACAGTCTATATATACAAACGCATGGTTTAATAGAAGTAACTTGTGATCTTTAGGTTTGAATCATCCTGCGGGGAACACATGAATTTGTCTTTAACCTCAGACGTGCAAAGAAAAAAAAAGAGTGACAGTGTTCTGAGTCATCTCTCTGTCATCGTGGACGTTTGCACCCCTGCTTCTTTCCATTCATCAGAAATAGTGGACACACGCTTGCATTCACTTCCTGTGCTGGTCAGGAGGTTAACTCTTTGTTTCCACTGCCTCAGACGATCATGATCTGCTGCAAGGACCTGAGCCGTGGAGTCGCTGGGGGGGCGCTGAGCCCAGGGACAAGAGACTGTAGACATGTGTGCTGGTGTTGATAAGACCAGGGAGCAAAGGTAAGAACCAAACTGTACAATAAGGAGCTTTAAGCAGCAGCAGTAGGTT